GAAGGTCTGGGTGGTCCAGAGAAGGTCTAAGGGAGGTCAGGTTGACCTGGAGAAGGTCTAAAGAGGGTTGGGTTGACCTAGAGAAGGTGTGGTTGGTCTGGAGAAGGTTGGGTCAGGGGCTACAGAAGCTCTGGTGGATCCGGAGAAGGTCTGGTTGGTCCAGAGAAGGTCTAAGGGAGGTCGGGTTGGTCCGGAGAAGGTCTAAAGAGGGATGGGTTGACCTAGGGAAGGTCTGGTTGGTCTGGAGAAGGTCTAAGGGAGGTCTAAGGGAGATTGGGATGGTCTGGAGAAGGTCTGGTTGGTCTGGAGAAGGTCTAAGGGAGGGTTGGGTTGGTCTAGAGAAGGTCTAAGGGAGGTTGGGTTGGTCTGGAGGACATCGGGTTGGGTTGGAGAAGGTCTAAGGGAGGTCTAAGGGAGGTGGAGAAGGTCTAAGGGAGGTTGGGTTGGGTTGGAGAAGGTCTGGAGGAGGTTGGGTTGGGTTGGAGAACGTCTGGAGAAGGTTGGGTTGGTCTGGAGAACATCAGGTTGGGTTGGAGAAGGTCTAAGGGAGGTTGGGTTGGTCTGGAGAAGGTTGGGTTGGGTTGGAGAAGGTCTAAGGGAGGTCAGGTTGGTCTTGAGAAGGTCTGGAGAAGGTTGGGTTGGTCTGGAGGAGGTCAGGTGGACCTGGAGAAGGTCTGGAGAAGGTCGGGTTGAGTTGGAGAAGGTCTGGAGAAGGTCGGGTTGGGTTGGAGAAGGTCTAAGGGAGGTCAGGTTGGGTTGGTGACCCTCTTCCATCCTTCTGTCCTCCCCCACCACCACCACCACCACCCCCACCTCCATCTCCCCCCCACCCTGGGGGTCTCCAGGCCAACCTGGAGAAGATGTGTCGCACCATGGAGGACCAGATGAACGAGCACCGCACCAAGGCCGAGGAGGCCCAACGCGCCGTCAACGACCTCACCACCCAACGGGCCAAGCTCCAGACGGAGAACGGTGAGGACCCGACCCCCCCCCAGGTTGTCCCCCACCCGGTGGGGTGGCTTTGGGACCTCTCCCACCTTCTCCTCACCCCCCAGGAGAGCTCTCCAGGCAGCTGGAGGAGAAGGAGGCCTTCATCAACCAGTTGACCCGAGGGAAGCTCACCTACACCCAACAGCTGGAGGACCTCAAGAGGCAGCTGGAGGAGGAGGTCAAGGTAAGGGCGGTGGGGGGTGGGGTGGGGGAAGGTCTCCAGGTGGGTGGCTTGGGCTGGAGAAGGTCCAGAGAAGGTCTAAGGGAGGTTGGGTTGGTCTGGAGAAGGTCCAGAGAAGGTCTAAGGGAGGTTGGGTTGGTCTGGAGAAGGTCCAGAGAAGGTCTAAGGGAGGTTGGGTTGGTCTGGAGAAGGTCCAGAGAAGGTCTAAGGGAGGTTGGGTTGGTCCAAAGAAGGTCTAAGGGAGGTCTAAGGGAGGTTGGGTTGGTCCAAAGAAGGTCTAGAGAGGGTTGGGTTGACCTAGAGAAGGTCTGGTTGGTCTGGAGAAGGTCTAAGGGAGGTCTAAGGGAGGTTGGGTTGGTCTGGAGAAGGTCTAAAGAGGGATGGGTTGACCTAGAGAAGGTCTGGTTGGTCTGGAGAAGGTCTAAGGGAGGTCTAAGGGAGGTTGGGTTGGTCTGGAGAAGATCTAAGGGAGGTCTAAGGGAAGTTGGGATGGTCTGGAGAAGGTCTAAAGAGGGATGGGTTGAGCTGGAGAAGGTCTGGTTGGTCTGGAGAAGGTCTAAGGGAGGTCTAAGGGAGGCCGGGTTGATCTGGAGAAGGTCTAAGGGAGGTTGGGTTGACCTGGAGAAGGTCTGGTTGGTCTGGAGAAGGTTGGGTCAGGGGCTACAGAAGCTCTGGTTGACCTGGAGAAGGTCTAAGGGAGGTTGGGTTGGTCTGGAGAAGGTCTAAGGAAGGTCTAAGGGAGGTTGGGTTGGTCTGGAGAAGGTCTAAGGGAGGTTGGGTTGACCTAGAGAAGGTCTGGTTGGTCTGGAGAAGGTCTAAGGGAGGTCTAAGGGAGATTGGGATGGTCTGGAGAAGGTCTGGTTGGTCTGGAGAAGGTTGGGTCAAGGCCTACAGAAGCTCTGGTTGACCTGGAGAAGGTCTAAGGGAGGTTGGGTTGACCTGGAGAAGGTCTGGTTGGTCCAGAGAAGGTCTGGTTGACCTGGAGAAGGTTGGGTCAGGGCCTACAGAAGGTCTGGTTGGTCCAGAGAAGGTCTGGTTGACCTGGAGAAGGTTGAAGCGGGACCTTCAGAAGGTCTGGTTGGTCCAGAGAAGGTCTAAGGGAGGTCAGGTTGACCTGGAGAAGGTCTAAAGAGGGTTGGGTTGACCTGGAGAAGGTCTGGTTGACCTGGAGAAGGTCTAAGGGAGGTTGGGTTGGTCTGGAGGAGGTCTAAGGGTGGTTGGGTTGACCTGGAGAAGGTCTGGTTGGTCCAGAGAAGGTCTGGTTGACCTGGAGAAGGTTGGGTCAGGGCCTACAGAAGCTCTGGTTGACCTGGAGAAGGTCTAAGGGAGGTTGGGTTAACCTGGAGAAGGTCTGGTTGGTCCAGAGAAGGTCTGGTTGACCTGGAGAAGGTTGAAGCGGGGCCTTCAGAAGCTCTGGTTGGTCCAGAGAAGGTCTAAGGGAGGTCAGGTTGACCTGGAGAAGGTCTAAAGAGGGTTGGGTTGACCTAGAGAAGGTGTGGTTGGTCTGGAGAAGGTTGGGTCAGGGGCTACAGAAGCTCTGGTGGATCCGGAGAAGGTCTGGTTGGTCCAGAGAAGGTCTAAGGGAGGTCGGGTTGGTCCGGAGAAGGTCTAAAGAGGGATGGGTTGACCTAGGGAAGGTCTGGTTGGTCTGGAGAAGGTCTAAGGGAGGTTGGGTTGGTCTGGAGAAGGTCTAAGGGAGGTTGGGTTGACCTAGAGAAGGTCTGGTTGGTCTGGAGAAGGTCTGGTTGATCTGGAGGAGGTTGGGTCAGGGCCTACAGAAGCTCTGGTTGACCTGGAGAAGGTCTAAGGGAGGTCGGGTTGGTCTGGAGAAGGTCTAAAGGGGGTTGGGTTGACCTGAAGAAGGTCTGGTTGGTCCAGAGAAGGTCTGGTTGATCTGGAGGAGGTTGGGTCAGGGCCTACAGAAGCTCTAGATGGTCTGGAGAAGGTCTAAGGGAGGTTGGGTTGGTCTGGAGAAGGTCTAAGGGAGGTCAGGTTGACCTGGAGAAGGCTGGGTCAGGGCCTACAGAAGCTCTAGATGGTCTGGAGAAGGTCTAAGGGAGGTTGGGTTGGTCTGGAGAAGGTCTGGTTGGTCCAGAGAAGCTCTGGTTGACCAGGAGAAGGTTGAAACGCGGCCTTCAGAACCTCTTCTGGAGTTGGGATGAGGTTGAGAAGCTCTTGCCCAGTTGGAGAAGCCTCAAGGGGCTTCCACCTGAGGTGGGACCTGATGGTCCTTCTCCACCCCAAGGCCAAGAACGCCCTGGCCCACGCCCTCCAGTCGGCCCGTCACGACTGTGACCTCCTGCGGGAGCAGTACGAGGAGGAGACCGAGGCCAAGGCCGAGCTCCAAAGGTCCCTCTCCAAGGCCAACTCCGAGGTGGCCCAATTGAGAAGCTCTGGTTGACCTGGAGAAGGTTGGATCAGGGGCTACAGAAGCTCTGGTTGGTCCAGAGAAGGTCTGGTTGACCAGGAGAAGGTTGAAGCGGGGCCTTCAGAAGGTCTGGTTGGTCCAGAGAAGGTCTAAGGGAGGTCAGGTTGACCTGGAGAAGGTCTGGTTGACCTGGAGAAGGTTGGGTCAAGGCCTACAGAAGCTCTGGTAGATCTGGAGAAGCTCTGGTTGGTCCCGAGAAGCTCTGGTTGACCAGGAGAAGGTTGAAGCGGGGCCTTCAGAAGCTCTGGTTGGTCCAGAGAAGGTCTAAGGGAGGTTGGGTTGACCTGGAGAAGGTCTGGTTGACCTGGAGAAGGTTGGGTCAGGGGCTACAGAAGCTCTGGTTGGTCCAGAGAAGGTCTGGTTGACCTGGAGAAGGTTGGATCAGGGGCTACAGAAGCTCTGGTTGACCTGGAGAAGGTCTAAGGATGGTTGGGTTGGTCTGGAGAAGGTCTAAGGGAGGTTGGGTTGACCTGGAAAAGGTCTGGTTGGTCTGGAGAAGGTCTAAGGGAGGTCTAAGGGAGGTTGGGATGGTCTGGAGAAGGTCTGAAGAGGGATGGGTTGACCTAGAGAAGGTCTGGTTGGTCCAGAGAAGCTCTAAGGGAGGTTGGGTTGGTCTGGAGAAGGTCTAAAGAGGGATGGGTTGAGCTGGAGAAGGTCTGGTTGGTCTGGAGAAGGTCTAAGGGAGGTCAGGTTGACCTGGAGAAGGTCTAAAGAGGGTTGGGTTGACCTAGAGAAGGTGTGGGGAGGAGACCTCTCCAAGGGGGTGGACAACCTCTGTGGGGCAGGAGGAGGGTGGAGAAGCCCTTCAAGGGGTGGACAACCCCTATGGGGCAGGAGAACGGTGGAGAACCCTCCACCGGAGAAGGTTCTGGAGATGGTTGGAGGAGCCAGAGGTGGGTCTTGACCCACCTCGGGCTGGAAGAAGGTTGGGGTTGGCCAAGTGGGACCCCACCGGGTGGTGACGGTGGGTTGTCCCGCCGTGGGGCAGGAAGAAGTTGGCCCAGAGGCTTCAGGAGGCCGAGGAAGCGGTGGAGGCCGTCAACGCCAAGTGCTCCTCCTTGGAGAAGACCAAACACCGGCTGCAGAACGAGATCGAGGACCTCATGGCCGACCTGGAGAGGTCCAACGCCGCCGCCGCCGCCCTGGACAAGAAGCAGAGGAACTTCGACAAGGTGGGGTTGGGGGTCACCAAGAGAAACGGGGGTTTTGGGGGGGAGAAGAAGGGGTTGGGACGTGTGGGGCCCACCAAAGAAGAAGCCAAGAAGAACGATGGGCAACGGTGGGCAACGG